TTGATTTCTCAAGTTCTCTGCAAAACACTGTTAAATAAAAGATTCATCTACCAAATACAAAAAGAATGTTATTTCTAAAACTGAGGAGTAGGTGAAGGCTTTAAGATTTTAATCTCAAAGACTTAAGATCAATTATATCCTTTTCTGTTTTAAAATCTATGTACATTCTGATAAATAAAAATAGTTTTGTGTGTACACTGACCAGGATATGATCCACTCGATCTCTTTTCTTTCTTCCAAATTTCATCATTTTCTGCCAATCTGTTTTGTAGTTTGACTCCTTTTTAAGACTGAACAATTTGAGTACTTCAGTTGCTATGAAGTTCTGTAGAAATAAAAGGAATAAATATACAAACAACAAAGTTCCTGAGGTTTATGTGTTTATAATACAATAAACAGACTTAGGCTAAGAATACAGTATTTCTAATTAAAAAAATCATATAAAAGTCTTCCACTTTCATTAAGTAACTTGAAGGGAAAAGCATCCCAAATGTTCAAATTTTATTCACTTAAATTTTTTGGTTTTACACAATATATAAAAGTAAAACCCATTGATGAATGTGCAAAGAAAAAACATTTTAGTTTCCTTTAGTGAAGAACTACCATTAGCTAATTTTAAGCTGAAAAACTACTAAAGAAAGCATAAAATAAATCTCTGAACTTGAAAAATCCCAAAGAAATATTTGGGAGCAATGTCACGTGAGAAAAGCATAAGCCTTTGTCTGAGAGAGTTTATTTTGAAGCACCAAGATTTGAACATGTTAATGAACACTTCAGTTTGAGAAGCATGGTAACAACATCTGAACCATTACCCTTAAAAAGAACTTTACAAAATACTACTTCAATATTAAAATTACTGGGAAGCATCTATAGGATGCTGTGTTGATGCATGCAGTTTGATGCTGCTGGCGTATTAGGCGCCTTGTCTTATTTCAACTTATTCTATGTTATTAATAAAATAATCTGTTTTATTACTTTTGAAGGTGTTCCCATTAAAAAAACAATGTTCTCATTTGGGGAAGGGACCTGCTGATGAATCAGAATCATCTGAGAGGATTCTCAACCAATGTGCCCCCAAACCCCGCTACTCCTTTTCTACAGACACACAATGCATTTGAGGATTTATCAACTGTGAAAGGTTGGAAGGAATTGAATATGCAAGTGTTTTGAAAAAAACTACTTACTTTAAGCCACAGGATGGCAAACTTCTTCTGAAAAGGATCAAATTATAACTATTTCAGGCTTTGTGGGCCACATGGACTTTATCTAACCAATTCCATGGCTGTAGCAGGAAAGCACCCATAGGCAATATATAAACAAATGGGTGTGGCTGTGGGTCAACAAAACTTTATTTATAAAAAGTCGATGCACTGGATTTGGCCCACACTCCATAGTTTGCCAAACCCTGATGTAAGCACTTACATTACATGTCATAAATAGCCATTGGTGTACTGTCAGTATAAAATACTCTTTTTTTTTTTTTAAAAGGTTTTCTATGATCAAGTTAAGTTTGGAAAACCTCTTAAACCCTCCTACTCAAAAACAGTGCTGGGACCAGCAACAGCAGCAGCAGAGCTTGTTAGAAATGCAGAATCTCAGGGTGGGGGGAAAGGGGGAGATAAAGGAAAATGATGGAGGGAGTAAATTCAACCATCACATATTGTAAGAACTTTTATAAACGTCACAATGTACCCCCAGTACAATAATGATAGAAAAATAAAAGAAACGCAGAACCTCAGACCTATTGCAGACTTACTGAAATAAAAATCTCCACTTTAACTAGATCCTCAGATGATTTAA